AGTGGTAAATAAGAACAGGAATCTTCAAAATTCTGTTTCTGCATAGTGAGTACAATGTGTTTTATCATTAGAGACTTGTTTTACTGGGTGCTTTTAGTGTTTAAATCTTGTTTGTGCTAGCAAAACACACAGAATGTGTTTCTTGTTGGATTTGGAAGGTGTAGAAAACTTCTTTCCAGGCTACTATTCTAATAGTCTTTGTAGAAAAAATCGTGGGAATATCAGAATTACTTAATCAAGTTTTAAGTATTAAATACTCTTACTATTAGGCATTCAATTTATGTAAAGTAGCTCCAGCTTCTTTGGAAATACTGTAAATGTAGGCCAGTTAATGAAGAAATTTGGTTTCTATCTGATCTTGAGTTTATGGAGCATTGCTTCATCTTGAAGGAGAAAAAAAGGAGTAGTATTTGGTACAGAAACAGTGGAAGGAAAGGATGTGAGAGTACTGTCAGCTGGTGTTATGTTTGAATCCTGCAGTCAGAATAGTTTTAGTTTTCTCTTGTCTCCATACGAAATTCGTTTGACATTCATTTACTTCTGGAGAATTTCAAGGAGCTCCTTTTCATGTGCATTTGATTGCAGGACTGAGGTTGTACATCAGCATGGTATCTTAGTGAAATGCTGCTACACTGGAGAAAAAAACTCTAGATGAACTAGGCATGAAATTTGATATGAGTTCTTAACAACTGACTTGTGTTGGTTTTTTTTACAAATTTGCTTATACTGAAAATCAAGCTTTAATGTAACTGATTACTTGGTCAATTCAGTATCACTGATTTCATGTTTTGATTCTCCCATAGAGACTTACAGCTAATCCAGGGGGTAAGCAGCGTAGCAGACTGTCCATCATGTCTCAGTATCTCTGCACTGTTGAAAACTGTTTTGTGATTCCAGGTCAAGCCTTTGTTCCAAAGCCAGAGGTAAGTTTTGCTGTATTTGTTTGGGGTTTTTTTGTTAATTTGTCAGTCAAGCAGTGTATCTGAGTTTGAGTGAGGAGCACAGTTGTTCACTCTATTTTAACATCTCCATATTTCAAAGTGGAATGATGTGAAATTCCTGCAAATGAAGCGTGCTTACTTGAAGAATGTGCTTTTCTTTTTGGTTCCTCAGAGCTCAGCTTCGGACCTTCAAGTTTATCTGCAAGATCAGTGTATTTATTCAGGTGTTTCTGGAGAGGGAGATTAGGATTTAGTATCAGGACAGGCTGCTGGAATTGTAGCATTTTTGGAAAGCCTGGTGTTTTAGTTTGCATTTATAAACAGTTTGGGAATTGTGCCTAGAGAATTTGATGGGTCGTTTGAAAGACTGTGATAAGAAAAGCTTTTAATTTGTCATCTTTGTCAAAGATCTCTAATTTTACCATGACTGTAATCTTTATGTTTCATCCTAGTCATCTTTAGCATATTTTACTCCCTCCTATTTGCTATGGCACTTTGTCACCTACATCCCACTGCCTGTTTAAAAAAGTAACAATCTTTTCTCCCTCCTATCTGTTCTTGAGTGAGTGAGTAGTCACTTTGTTGTCCTCTTATCTACTGCCACTCGTTTTTATTAATAGCCATTATGATTGCAGGAATCAATAATAAATGAAACTGATTTTTTTTGGACAGTAATGTTTTTTCACAGTGTTTTGTTTTTGTTTTTTGTAAAAATTTGTGCCTGATACTAAGTGAAGTCTGTTTTCCCTGAATGCAGATGGAAATCATAGGATCATAGAAATATTTGGGCTGGAAGGGACCTTTAGAGGTCCTCTAGTCCCATCCCCAAGCAATGAGCAGGAACATCTTCAACCAGATCATGTTGCTCAGAGCACAGTCTATTCTGACCTTGAATGTTCCAGGCATGAAGCATTCACCATGTCCCTGGGCAACGTTTCAATGTTTGACCACCCTCGTTGTAAAAATATTTTTCCTTACATTCTAATCTGAATCCACTGCCTTTTAGTTTAAAACCATTACCCCTTGTCCTATCAAACTGCCATTTTGTTTCAGAAATGAACTTGCAGTTTTGAAAGTCCCTCCTTAAACTGGTTGGTTCAGCTCATTGCTACATCTCCCTTCCCCCTTATCACAGCCTCTCTCTTGGTCCTTTTAATTTTCAGGCATATCTCTTGAGAACCTTTGAAAGGTTATTCTCTCTCATTTATCACAATGAATTTTAAGGCCTCTCTCTGGGCATATTCTGATGATGATTTAAAATTCAGTTAGTATTTTTCAAGCAAGTAACTGTTCAGACATGTTAAATTACCAGTTGTGACAGCAGTCTGTTGTGAAGAAAAATGACCATGCTTAAGAAATCTTTTTTTTTCCTTCTTCTTTCTTTGTTTTTGGGTTAGATTTTTTTTGTTTCCTAGCTGAATGAAAAATAATTCCAGAATGCCATCTCACTGTCAAATATGTGAAATGGTGTTAAGTAAGGCCAAAATTCCAGTTTTACAGTGGTGGTTTCTCAGTGGTGGCTACAATTTGAGTACTAGTAGAGCTAGTGTAGTCAAAAGTCTTGTGCAGACCGTGACTCAGAATTGGGAAGCTATAACTGATATTCCTGTATTCCTGTACTGAAATGGCCATAGTTGACCAAGGCAACTCAGAGAGTTGTGCCAAATATCTTAGTGTAAGCACATCCTAGTCAGTTGGTGCTCTATTGAAGAAAAAAAGCAGTATCACTAAAGGCAAGCATATTTTTATTTAATGTATTTCTTTTAGTTAAAACAAGTATTGCTTATGTTGAAAAAGTAGAAAGTACATTTTTTTCAGATAGAGCTGGCACCTGTTTTCACTCTATTTATTTCCTTCAAACTCCGGCTGTAGATTGGTCTTCTGTTTTGTCCTTGCTCTTTTAGCTGTACACTGACACGTGGGTTTAGATATTAGCATTTCTCATAAAATCTGTTTTCTTGGAAAGCTCTTGCATAGTATGGTGAATGGTGGCTCAGTGCCTGATTTTGTTCTGTAGATATACAAAGTTCAGGTACTTCTGTATAAGGTTTCAGGAAGAAAAATTTGCAGCATATGTAACTGATGAATACTTCATTTTGCTCATAGTATGCAATTATTACCTTTTTCTTATGCCCTCCTGTGAAAATACTTTTTGGTTTAGTATTTCACAAGTGTTAGTTTTAATTCACATACATAGCTATGATCATGGCTTAGTGTCATGTCAAATCCCTTACTAAAGGTGGAGATGCATGTTTGTGAGAATGAGTTGTTTACCTCATTTGCTCAACAGAGGAGTATTATTTCAACAATACCATGAATGCTGAGACCCAAAAGACTCTTGGTTTATGGAATGGAATGGTGCTGCATGACACTGTGTCTGTTAAAGGAAAATCTAGCTTTTTGGTCATAGTTAAGTCTCTGTGATACCGAATAGCTGCTGATAGTAGCATTAGGAATAGTACAAAGCAAGCTCCTTTATTAATACGTAGGAAACTCAAAATAGCTATGGAACTGTCGTAATAAAAGCAGGAGGTAATGCCATTCTGTGTGTGAAGGATGAAGACTCTTGGTGAATAAAGACTCCTCACATATTAGATGCGTAAAACAGTACACTTTCCCAAATGCTATAACAGAAGATCTTACTTTTTCCAACATACTAAACATAGAATGTTTAGGCTCCTTCATACATTTTTAGCAAATTTGGGCTAGTGAATATAGCAATTGGTTTTATTGAAAGACTCATCCACTGTTACCATATTCTTAAATTTAAAGGCCCCTTTTCATACCCCTCTTCATCAATTTAATCTTCGTTTAGGGCAGTATTTAGATAGGACATTCTTTTCCAGTGACCAATACAATGCAAAATCTGTGTGGTGAACAAAAAGGTTAAAGGATCTAAGATAACTATTCAAAATAAGGCAGTTAAGAAAATTGATTTAAATAAAGAAGGTGTCTTGTTATCGCTGTTGTATACCACACTTTACAGTAATGGAATATGTGGGAGAGGACCTGAAACAGACCCTACAGAAATAATTAAAAGGACTTGAAAAGAAGGTCAGAAATGTAGAAGACAATAAACAGTTGCTGTATTATTTGAGCTGCTAATCACTACTTTCAGCAACTGTAAGCCAGAATGCTTACAGATTTTTCTTGAATATAGATAATTTAGTTTGTATCCTGCGTGTTAACAGTGTGTGCAGGTGTTTTCAGAGTTAGGGTTACATTTCTGTTGTTGTATTGCTCCTCATATCTAACATTCATTGTGTAGTGATAGATTAGTCGCAACTGGTGAATGTCCAGCAAACATTCTTTAACAATTATAAATTAAACCCACAGCAGGTGGCATTTTGGGGCAGGAGAGCCATGTTTGGCAAGAGCTGAATGGTACTGCTGATGCTTCAGCCTGATACACAGACTATAGAGTGCAGCTGAGGTTTAGAGCCATGGGCTTTTGTAATGGGGTGTTTTTTTGGTTTTATGATAGGGGGTTTTTTTGGGCTTTGTTTTTTTTAAGAAATCTAATTACCAAGGCAATTTAGAATTGAAAATTTGTCTGCTTTTGAAAAAAATTTGAACTTCTTGGACAAATACTGCTTGAGGCTTTTTTCCTTGCATCATAATTAAAATAAAGATAAAAATGTAAAAGATACTGTAATGCATTATATATTATTGAAAACCTAATTTGCTAAATAGAAAGCAGTTAGTTTTTAACTATCTTTGCTGTAATGACCTGTCTATACATTAATTGTTCAGTCAGTTATGGTTTAAAATAGTTCCTTTTTCTTCAATAAATGTTACTTGGAAAGTCAAAAAGAATGGTTTGAAAAATCAACAAAATAAAGTACTCTTGTAGCAGTATTTTTTCCTACCTCTTTCTTTTTGTGGCTGCCCCTATAAATGATGAGGTATGAACCTGTTACCTTCCATAGGGATAACTGCAATGCAGACATAGGAAAAGTCAAGTGCTATGTTATACATTCTTTGAAATAATCAAACTACACTTAGCACACAAAAACAGCCTCAATGGATGGAAATACTTCAATGGATAGAAATAACAATTTACACATAGTCCTTCAGATTGTAGCCTGTGTTGCTCTCCTGCTCTGTGGATGGGAAGTGGGTCTGCTTTGGAGGGTAAATCCATGCTCCTTGCTGCTTTTTAAAACAGGAAGTGCAGAAGATCACACCTGCGATAAGCAGAAACCCTGCTGAAATGAATCCTGTATAAACCGCTCCTCCTGGTTCATGCTTACTGCTCTCTGGAATGGTCTGATCCAGAAAATTTGAAATAATTTCTCTCGTGTACCAGGATGTCGGTACTAATCCCAAGATTCCTGCAAGAATGAAGCAGACTCCTCCAGCAAAACAAGCGTGACTTTTGCTGTCAGTGTCCCCTCCCAACTTTGTGCATTTCATTCCGACTGTAGCGATGCAGATCCCAAAGGCTGACAGGATACAGGACAGTACCATGGTGGTCCGTGCAGCCTGGATGTAGACGGGGAGAGAGAGAATGGAGTATTTCAGGGTGCAGCTGAACATCCCAGTGCTGTACCACGTGCAGTCCATCCAAAGTCCTTGCATCTGCGTTATAGCCGTTATGATATTTGAGCCAACATCTGCATTTACCTTCCAGTTTGGTAGCAGAGTGGCCGCGATATCTCCAAATGCTCCAAACAAAGCCAGAATAAAAGCAAAGAACTGCAGACTTTCTGATGCCATGATGGTTATCTGCTGTCACCTTTTGTCTGCCCTTTCCCTCGGGAAAATGAGTGTAACTGGTAGCTTCGTAGCCAAGCTGTAGCCCTCTGTGTAATAGGGAGGAAATGGAGGGGGGGAGGAGAAAGGCAAAGGGGGAAAGAAAAAGAAATCAGCAAACAAAAAAAGCTTGGGTTTAAAATTAGAGCTATCTGAACATGACCCTGCAGCAGCTGAGCAGCTGTACACAAGGTACTTGAACAGAAATGATGGCAAATGGACAGTGTTTTAGAATTGCTTTTGAAAAGGAGCTGCTGCCCTTTCATACGCAATTGTAACCCATCAAGCAAAACTTATTTTGCTGCAGTTGGGTTTGGTAATAGCATACAGATTGCAGGCTTACTAGACAAATAAGCATTGTAAATGGAACATTAGAAACCTGCAGATTAGAGGCCATTGTGAAAAAACACTGTGGTAGAATATATATTGTACTCTTCAAGTACCTCATTTAAGTGTGTTGATGGCTGTAGTCAGCTCTTGCTGAGTATTTTATAACAATCAGTACTGTTACACTATCTCTTGTTTTAATGTATGGTTAAAGGTAAGCCTTTATTTCTATGATTTAAATATTCTCTGTTCTTTTTTATAACTGTAACAAAATTTCTTGGTTTTGAAAGAGAATAAAATTAAATTTACTTTTGCAGTATTTTCACAATATAGTCACACATGACTTTTCTAAATCAGTATTTCATTTTGAGTTGGTGATTTCCATTCCTTGACTCAGAGCAGCAGTATTTACCATGTCATGAGAGTGAATATGTTCTGCTTCTGTCTCTAAAATAATGGGGTTTTAATACTGATACGAAACAACTCATTTGTGGAAGTGCATGTTTTTAATCAGTCACCTGTCTGAAATAATTTGCAAATTTGCTATGAAGTGGCAGTTTTAAAAATTATTTTTAAAAAACCCTCCCTGCTATTCTTGCATAGAGTCCAATTTCGCTTGACAGATGAGAACATTTTAGGCAGTATGGTAACTGTGCACATGGGAAGACAGAACTGTTGCTGTTCCATCAGCTGGACTGTTGGGATAGCTGGTGGAAAGCAATGGTTTGAAACCTCTGAGAGGAGGAGTGGAAGTGGTGCCCTGCCCTGCCTTTTGCATTGGGCTGTATAATTGGCAGGTCTTGTCTGTTATCAGAGTGATAGACAGTGAGCAGAATTCAGTCTGGATTATGCTTTCTAAGATGTTCTGTCTAAATATGACGATAATATTAAAATTCATCTTCAACATTAGAACTTTTTTTAACTTCTATGAAAAGCCATAGGGGATAAAATGGAAATAAGTGGAACACAAAATATCTCTAGCATTGTACACTTGTTTCAGTTCATTATGCATAAGACAACAAGGTTTTGATCAATATATCAGTCTTTAGTGGAATTATTTAACTAGCTAATTAATATATTTGTCCTCTATAAATATAATTATATTTAATATCATTATTATCCTCTATTATGCATAATGTATATATTTATACTCTCTATATATTGTACTTATTTCAGGTAATTGTTCAATGTTGTGTTAACTCTGTCCAGCATATAGACATTAAAACTGTTTATAGTTAAGGTGAGAGTATTAACAACCGCACATTTAAAAAATCTTATTTCTGCCTGTTTCCAAATCCCTTCAGTTTGTTCAGACTCTGAAAAGTTGCTTTGACAAATATGTATCGTTTTCTATATCAGGCCCACGGGAAAGATGGCTTAACTTCCTTTTACTGAAGGAACTGACATGTCCAGATAGCTCAAAACTCATTCAAAAGCATATTCTGGAACATCTAAGTAGGCTCTCGAGTCAGCCTTTTTCATTGCTTCCTTTTGAAAATTTCGGTATATAAAAGCATACAGGCATAAATGCAAAACACTGCAGATGGTAGCCATACATTACATTAAATGGGATGAACCAAGTTAAAGACATGACAAATTCAAGTATAAACACCACAATTGTAATTAAAAACACAGTTCTGTTTCGTTCATGTTTGTATAGGACTTACTGCTGGATGTGAGGTCTGAGATGTTATCTTCAGTGTAGATGTCCTGGAAAAATGCAGTTTCTCTTGAATTGAACTATCCCTTCTCATATAAAACTGCATTGGCATGTATTAACAAAATTTCTTGGAATGTTGTTTTTTTTCTGTTCTCTACATCAAGTGTATTACTGCTGTTTGTTCTCTCTCTTCGTTCCATCTACCCGAGAATAAAGGAGTACTTTGTTTAATGAGTTTTGTTTGAAAAACACTCAGTAAGGGAAAGCAGAGAGATTATGGAATAAAACAGACGGAGGCCCTTAGTCCTAAATACATAATGATATCCAGGTTCTATGATGAAAAGTGTGAACTGTGATTAAATGGAGTAAAATCTTGAGAATACAGAAGCTGTAGACTTATGGACTGGGGGGGGCAGTGGGTGGAAATCATTTACGTTCCACTGAGAGCCAGAGGGTTTTGTTGTTTGTCAGTTGTTGTTTTTTTCATCACAGATAATCTTATTAAGAGTTTAAATTTCCTAGGAAAGAACTATGCAATTTATTTTAATTTCTAATTGGAACAGCAGGACATTTATATTCAGCTACTGGTTTTGCTTATCTATTCCTGATAGCTTTAGCCTTACATAGGTCATCCTATAACTTGTTACCTTTCTACGAGGCTGTAGAAAAGAATGAAGAAATAAAGCTACTAATAAGGCTTATATGGTAACTGCAGCATATCAGAGAAGTGGCCTTGACAAGCTGATGTGTGAAATGAAGGAGTTAGGAGAAAAGCCTTACCACTGCAGCAGTGATACACCTGTAGGTTCTGTACCTGACTTCTGGTTTCCTGTGATCCTGTTTGTTACGACTCGTGTGAATAGAGTTACTATGAAGCTGTTCTTACACTGAAATTAGTCTATTGCTATTAGTGCAGTGGCATAGTTACTTTCTTCTGTAAGTGAATCAAAAGTAAACTCTTGCATTGGAACAAGATTGCTAAGAGATGCACATATCTGGTGTTAGACCTAACATTTGTCTATAGTAGACAGATAAAATGCTGCTACTGAACACTTGGTTTGTGAAAGTGTTGGCTTTAGGAGTATCTCAGTAGGATCTCAAGCAGTCTGTTTTAATGAAGTTGTAATATGTTCTGCTTAGGTTTTGATTCCTTGTGAGTAAATTGCAGATTGAGGAAAGGTTGTGTAGGTTTGATTTCAATACAGCCCTGTTGCAAGATGCATGTATTGCCCATCATGAGACCTTTGTTGTCAACAGTTAGTAAAAATCGTTTCACTTAAGTTTATTCTGATTAAGAGTGTTGATTTCATTAGCCAGGCGGCAGACTTGTGTGAATTAAATTGTACTCTGTCATGTGTTGCTCCTACCCTGCCAGAGCATAAACCTGCATTGTACAGATACACTAAACAGCAAGGGGTGAGTAATTGCTGTACTATTGACAGTTTGAGATATATCAGTTGGATAATTTTCATATTCATTATTTTGTATGAATTGAATGCTATTTTGTATTTCTAACATACTTGTTGGGGTAAAAAATGTTACTGGTAAAATTATAATTAAATTAACTTGTGTATTTTAGGTGCCCTTGTGTACTCTGTTGGCTTTCATAATTCTACTCTATTTTATGCATAGTAAAAAGGTTAGAGGAAAATAGCATGTATAATTTTAAAGGAGTGGCCAATTACAAGTGAAACGCTTTCCTCTGTATCTGTTGCTATAGTAACCAGACAGCTTTCCTGGAGTCCAAAGAAAACATCTATAATGGAACAAATGCTGAGAAGTGCTGTGTTTTGTTTCAGAAGCAGAAATTATTGCCCACTGGCCTTGAGATTGCAAAATGAGCTGTTTGGCTCTTAAGTAGTACACTGCATCTACATTGAGTTCTTTTTTCCTTCAGACATTTTTGCTAAAGATGCAGCTCTAACTCCCAAAGACCCCTCATTTCTCACTGACAAGCAGTTCTGCAAAATTGGGGTGACTAGGAGATGCCACATGGTCTCTGGTTGTTTTCTTAGCTCTCATTTTGAGAGGGTAATACCTTGTTTTATTTCTTAACAAAAATGTAAACTGCTGCATGTGTAAATAAGCCCTCAGTATTTCTATACAAGATGCTGATCGGTCATGTGAAGTATGTATTTGCCCTGTTCAAAAAGGTAAACTTTTCTTACAGTCAGTGTGAACACAAGGTTTTTCTACCTTCCTCTGGTCTTCCTGATGGGTAGCAGCAAACTGTGGCAAAGGCAGAAGCTATAAACACTTGAAAACTTAAAAATCTGCTTTGAAAAATACATTTATATGCATTTCACTGCAGATTCCATATGTCACGTTTTCTTTGTCACCTGATTAATAAGTAAGTTCTCATGTCTTCATATTGTAGTCATTTTAAGTGGTTTTTTCTGTCTTCTTAACCCTAGCTTTCAGAAAAGGTGCACAAGTAGAGAAAAAACACTCAGCAGCATATGCTTGAGATGAGTAGTGGTGATGCTGGAAACTTGCTGTGGTTTTTTTATGAGGAACATGAATTGGTATTTTCTTTGCTTTCTGTAGCTGGTATTTTTGTTTAAGTTCTGTCTACATGGAAAACTTGAGTTGTTTGAATTTTATGATTCTGTTGAAATATAGCACTTTGTGTTGTTGAAGCAGTTGTACTGGATAGATGTACTTGACAGCTGAGCTGTTCCCACTGAAAGAAAATATGGATGGATTGTACATTTGTGTCAGAAGAATATGTCCACATCAGAGGTTGCTATGAGCAGTTTTGGTTGAAGCAGTAGGAAAAACCCTTTGTTTTTTTAATTACCCTTTAGCTCTGGGTTACCTCAAACAATTGGGACACTGAGAGTGTGCGTGTAGCAGCAGCTGTTCTTTGGCCTGTGTCTCTTATTTTGGTCAGAACTAGCACATCTTCAGTTTAATGTCACATAGAATCTGTTCCATGAATGCCAATATTGACTGTCAGACCTTCTAAAAAATGAATGGTTGTCCATCATATTAGCAGACTTTTTAAATAAGACAATATTTTTTAAAATGTGGCACTTAAAAATGTTTATTCATTCAGTACCAGTACTTGTACAAATTGTACAAATTTTCAATGTGCTCCTCCACATAAATTTCTTTTTATTTTTGTTAATATCTAGTTTGGAAGACAAATTCCCTTATTCAGTGTTGTGCAGAACTGGATTTTTAGCCCAGCTTCTATTTTCTATTACAAAAGTCTGAATTCAGGACATTTCTGTATAATAACAATGTCTATGATTGCATGACATATTTTATAGTTTATATATGTGTAAATATTATTTCATTCTGTTTTCAGACAGAGGGAAAGTGACTGTTCTGTGAATCAAGCTGATTTGAGAACTACAAATGGATATATACAAACTTATCTTTGTGAAGTCAGTCAGACATAATTTTGGATGAACTGTGATAGTGTAAATACAGAGCTGTGTGGTCACTTAAACTGAATACAGACTTATTTCTACCTACCATTCCTTTAAATAGACTAGAATTTTAAAATCTTAGTATGTTGAAAAGTAGTTCCTTGGCTTACATTTTAGAAAAGCCCTAGAGCAACAGAAAACATACAGGGAATGGGTTTGATTTCTAATTATAATACCAATTTTCTCCAGCTGCCCTTCAGCCTGTATATCAGATATTGTCTAATTTGTGTATTATGTCAGAATTGTCATGTGGAAGGATCTGAAGACAGAAGTGCCTAATTACTTTACAGATTACATGGAAGTTGTTCTAGATGGAGGAAGTGCCATGGGGGAAAAAAGTACTAAGTACTAATGGCATGTGAACTAATTGGAAATATGTAGATAACTAAGACTAAAATTCTGTAGGGCCTTGAAAGCTAAGCCAAATCTTTGTACTCAGTACTATGGTATTGGTCACTGCACAGCTGTGTTACCTGTCAGAATAATGTCTTCCTATGTTGTGCCCATTTCCTGATTTCTAGCCGGTTAACTTAGGACTAATGTGTCCCAGAGAAATATGTCTACTCAAATTTATCTTTCTTTTTGATATAGGTGGATGTGGCTGTGGTGCATTTCACCCCATTGGTGCAACCAAAGATACAGCAGCCGTTTAAGCTAGTAGAAAAAGTGGTCCAAAGTGTCTTTCAGTTTCGAAGAAAATACTGCTTCCGTGGACTTGAGTAAGGATTTTTATTGAAAAATTCTCAGATGGTCTCTTTGTAAATCTGTCAGCTGCTAAATCAGTTGAGAGAAACTTGTAGCTATGCATTTGATTTTATTCCTTCAATTTTAAATTTGTCATCATAGTTCATCAGAACTTTCCATTTCAGAATGGGGACAGAAGTATGAGATTTAATACATTTCTGGTGTAATGATGTTATAATTACTGTGCATTTTTGTTAGTGCAGTTGAAGTTGTCAAAAATTACTAGGATTAATTGTCATTTTTTCATGACTTTGTCTGTCTCAGAAACAAACAAAAAAACCCAACCCCAAAAACTACAGCATGATCGAGTTAAAAACTGAAAGTGTCAAAATTCAGAACCAAAGATGGCAGACTGAAGAGCTTTTGCTGGGAGTGTGAGGAGAATGTCACCTGTGGGAAATTTTACTTACTAGCGGATAAAGTCAAATTCTTGTTTCTGTGCTTGCCCTTTTATGGAGTTCTTACTAGCTCTTTAAAAATCCCCATGTATTACTGAGGGAATTTACTAGGTTCTCTAATCTGAGAAACCTGCAGTCTTTTCACCAAAGATCCTGTTAAAACTCCAGCACAGCCACATGCCTGACTAGGTCAGGGCAAAACAGAGCTCTCAGCACTGCAGAATGTGACATGGGCATCTCTTACAGCTTGGACTAGCCAAATTTTGCTGGGCATAGTTTTGGCCCTGATTCAGTCTAGAGTTAGAGTGGATGCCACCTTACTGAGCTACAAGCCTTACATGTCACTGTTTTAAAGGTGAACAAAGAATTTTGCCTGTAGTTTTGGTTATTTTTTCATGAAGCAGTAACTGCCATTGATGTCTGGGATGCAGCATTGCATATAGCATGAGTACTGGTTTGAGTGTGTGTTTGGAGGCATTTAGAAAATGAGGCATCCAAACTCTAGACTAATTTGTATTTGATTTACAGGAGGGTAAATTCTTTTTTATTTTTTTGGTGGAAAAAGTGGTTTAAATTGACAGTGTAAGCAGAAGGCATGTGCAATCAGTATATCTATGTTATGTAGAATATTTTTGCCAAAGTTTACAGAACCCAAACAGACCCAACTGTTGTGTAATCTTAAATTGCTAATAACTGCTTTACATTCTTTTGAGACAAGGAGAGGGAATCTGAACTTTTGGACGTCACGTATCCCCTAGCAGCTTACCATACTTTAGCCCTAGTGTGCAGCTAAGAAACACAATCCTCTTACTCTATAACTGGCCTGAAAAAAAATAGTAAATTTTGGTGTATAATAAAGCTGTTCAGTTCGTTATAAGGTTATCAATCACATATACTGTATAAAAACAAGGTAATAGAATCAGTTTACATTTGTGCGTAAATTCTGGGATCTGAGATATGGAATATAAGATTGAGCTATGAAGTCCATGAAGAAAAATACTGTAATTTGAGCTGCTGTTCATGGGCATTTATAAGATGGTTCATAGTCTGTAAATAAAAGGTAACTAAACATTTTTGGCTCCAGGTATGCCTTTTAACTACCAAATCAAAGGAAAGAAGATGAGGGACATTGAAATAAGGATTGATCCATTTTAACCTTGCTGACCTAGACGCTGGGTCAGCAATGGGAACATTTTGACCAAAGCCTGGAGTTGTAGTTACTTAAACCAGGTTTTTCAAATGTTCCATCCCGCACGTGTAACTTTGAACCCATTCTTTACTTTGTGTTCTCTCTGCCCACCAGGAGCCAACTATCACTTAGACAAAGCCTTTTGACTAGTTTGTCCAGCCAACCTGCAGCCTACATCTGGGGTGTGGGGGTGTTGCTGTATTGCATAATATTTTTAGGTATTAGGTATGTATGACAGATACAATTTGAAAATTGAGACATGCACATCAACCATGTGCAGATTTCCTGACCCATTGTAGGGTGAGAACTACTGCTAATAAGAATCAGTGTTTTTAGTTTGCCCTTTTTAGTATGCATTTTTGTGTGCCATTAAGAATCCCGTGAACTAATACTATTCATTAAAATTTGGGGAACTTGTGAGAGAGGGGTGGTGCAAAGACATCTGGTCTCAGAGTCAATGTACTGATATGCCTATCTGTGAACAATGACTGAGCTGCAAACAAAATCTAGGACTTCTGCCACATTCTACAAGTTCCAAATATTAAAAAGTGAATGGTAATTAAATACTCCTTTCCTCCTTCTTGTCTTTTTTTCCCTGGCATTAAAATTACGGTATTATGACAAGTGATAACAATATCTTTCCCATTGGAATGAAACCGTCTGAAAGTCATAGTTTGACTCTTTTGCACAGTTTAATCTATTGTTACTTTGTAAATATGAGGGTAATTCTAAGAAGGCTCTGTGACTGTATCCATACCCAAAGTTCTTTTGAATGTTAGCAAACATGAGCATACATGCGTTTAATGTATCATGTATGTGTATGCTTTCCTATGTTGTCAGAATTTTCATTTGCATAAAAAGGATCCTCATATGTGTCCCTCTGCTTTGATAATGATCTATATTAAGAGTACCAGAGCTAAAATAATGACATGGCTAATAGTAAACCTATATTAAGCAAATTCTCTGCAACTCTTACAGGAAACCTTATTGTCTATCTGAATTTATTTTTCTTCTCCTTCTCCCCACAACTTTTAGGACCTTGTTTCCTGAAAATGGACGTTTGAAAAGAACAGAACAGCTGATGATGGCAGCAAATGTTGATCCAACTTTGCGTCCTTTTCAGCTCTCCATGTCACAGTTTAGAAATCTGTGCAATACATACAGAAAAATGTGTGATGAAGACCCAGGCCTTTTTGTGTTTGACTACAGAGAAGAACTAAGGCAAAAGAAGAAGAAAAAGCGTTTACCTAGTAGTACTGGTCAGCTTGAACAGACTGAAGAGGAAAATCAGCTGTAACAGCTGTAATTGCAGCAGACCATTTTTTTTAATTAGATTTAGCTCCTCTACTTTTGAGAAGGTGGTAGAGAGAGAGAGAGAGAGAGCTTTCCTATTTTATTTATTCATTCAGCTGCAGACAAAAGGGAAAGACAGTCCAGGTTCTTTTTACTTCAGGAGAATGGCTAGAACACATACCAAGAAACAAGGTATGTTATGAGACAAGTAATTAAGTTGTGATACTTCTGAAATAATTGAGTTTTGTATGAATGAAAGTGCATTACTGCAATGTAAGAAAAATACGTTTCATATGTCAGCAGGTAAGACGGTGTTTGTGTTTTTGTGATTTTTTTATCCTGGAACATCCTACTGTGCAGAGTAATTTAAAAACAGAAGCCAGGACTCTCTTATAAATACACTCAAGTGACTGGCTTATGGGAGGATAAAGTGCACCAATTGCCTCAAGGTCTGCTAATACTCTTCTCATTTGAGCAGAAGAAAAGAATTTGGGATTTAAAGCTCCAACTAGAGAAAAGCAGCACAATAAAAAGTAGAAAACATGGCTAAGTACAATTACTTATTTGTCTTTTACTGTACAGGCTGGTGTAGAGAAAATAAAAAATACAGCCAAATAAAAGATTACAGGCCAAGCTTTGTTTTTATATTTACACATATGTATAAAGTATAAACAGCATTGAAACATACAAAAAGGAAACTTCTGCACTGTTGTGCACTAAAACACATTAAAATAACTTAGTTCTGCTTTAAATAAAGCAAACATGAAAACCAAAGTAATAAAATGCCCAAGGTATTTAAAAATTCATTTCGCAATGCTACTTTCCATTGTAAACTCCTCTGCCACTCACTAGCACCTTTTCCACATTACTTAAAACACTAACGAGGCCATCCTTCCCCTCCCCAAGAACACTACATCATCTTAATAACTGCTTGAAAGGGATGAGCTAATTTACAGACCTTGGCCAACTTAATCTATTTTTGATCCACAATAAATTAAAATAACTTAAGAATCCTTTACAGCTGTTTCTGTGGAAAAATGTATTAGTGCACAAAATCGAATAGTAATTTTCTTGCAGCTTCCATGAATTTACTAGTTTTAAAGCAAAATATTTGTTGAATTTTATGTGGACTTCAAATGAATGTTTTAAATCTAGTGCTTAGAAAGCTAGGATTTTCCATGCCTCTCCACAGCTTCATAAAAACAGTCCTCATTAACTACCGATGTTAAACTCTGGACACTAAATTCTCTCTCTAAAACAGAGTTCAGATCCAGGTTTGCAGCATCAGAGTGACTGTCAAGGGACTGGTGACGTTCTTGCATTGCCATTAAAGTTCCTCTATTACGCTTTGTGCTGTTAGCTTTTCTCTTCACTGGGCAGAAATGGCCACGCACAAGCTTTGGATGCTGTCCTATCCCAAAGCCATCTCCTTCCTCATTTTCAGCAGCCTGATCCCGTTCAGAGTCAATACTGGGTTCCTCTGAAATCTTCAGCCGCTGGAACTGGATTTCAATGTCTTTTGTGGGGCTGCCCTTCTTTAGGCTCCGATAGTCCTCGTCATCATCATCACTGAGAATATCAGATTCTTTGACAAGAACATTAGAAAAGTCAGATGCACAGCGCTCTCCGTGTTTATCAGGAGATGAATTTTTGGGCTCCTGTACACTCTCTGAAGTGTGGCAGCTGCTGCTCTGAGTACTGCTGCTCAGGCTGCACTCATCGGAGTCCTGGAAGGTGCCTTTCCTTGGGTCACCATTCCACTCACTACTTGGTGAATTCTTCAGTACCTTCAAGGATCTGGTGGAAGCTGTGCAGAGGAAAAATACAGGTGGGTTTTTTCAGCAAAACATCAGCTGGTTATACCTTCTATCTCAATAGTCCACTCATAATTAGTGTACATAATCATCCCAGGTCAGATGTATCAGCACTCTGATACCGACAGCATGTTCTCATGTCACAGTTTTCATTCCACCTACCCCAGGGCTATGTGCTTGCCTTTGTATGTAATATGTATAAACTCCTCCAAAAATTGTAGTAATAATTTACACAATTCTGCAGGAAAGAAAGGCTGATTCAGGCACCTCGAGCACTGGAGGGCCAGGATGTACGTGAGAGTCAAACTGTTTCAGATCCTGTGATATTAAGGGGGTTTTATAGAGGACTGATTAGACAGAGAACTTGAAATACTGGTAGCTACTCATTTAACTAAAATGTCTGAAGCCTGTACTTACTTAGGGTATCTGCTGGGATGCAGATTTAGTGCATTGAAAGAAGAAAGACCTCTGCCTTTTGCCAGTTGTTTTAGCTATAAATGTTACTAGGGGTGACTTACTAAGGGAACCCAAAGGAAAGAACACTAATACTGCATGCCAAAGGGAGTCTGTTCCTTCCCAGCAAAATTAATTTGGGCCTTACTTATTCTTCCCTGAAGAAAGCTAATGACACATAACAGTGCAGGGAGGATAGCAAGCTTGCTGATCTCTTCTAGCCCTTGTCATGCACTGAGTTGTGAAGAAACTACCACCTCCCCAGCCCAAAACAAAGAAATGGGATTTGAAGGTCTGACACATGACACACTACAGTCCTAGTAATAATTGTGACCCTTCTGCCAGAACCGGAGGCCAGAGTATTTTTCACTTTGAGGAGGTGTTTCTTACCCAGTTTGGCTGTTGCAGGTATACGATTCTTGAGTGGGACAAGGCGATCCTTAGATGTTTTCTCCAGTGGGAGCTCACATTTTATGTGACGTCTGAAATTCTCCCGCAAAATAGAACGGATCACCTTCACAATGTTAGTCTTGTTCTCAGAATCACTGCAAGTTTAAGAAAACACAAAACTTTATTTTCCCCTCTGAAGTAAGACACTGGGATTAAATCTGCCCAATCCCTTTCTGCTGATTTGCTTTGGTGCAGTGGTTTTCTTCAATAGCTTACTTTAGTAGCAGGTTTGCAGCTATCACAAAATCCTAGAATGGTTTGGGTTGGAAGGGACCTTAGAGATCATCTAGTTCCAACCCCCCTGCCATGGGCAGGGACATGTCTGTGTGGTGTTAGGCATTTCACACACCTTGTGTTTTGAGATCTTGGTTACTTCCTCTCAGAAAACAACTAGAAAGGCAAATTCAGTACCAAAGAATCACCACCTTATTTAGTCTTTATCAGAAGGTAATTTCTGCTGAGAATCTGATAAAATCAATAACTTTGCCCATACCATACTGGAAATTATGGTCATACATCTGTGCCAATTTCAGCTTTGGGTCAGCACCAAATTCACTCCCTTTTGAATTTGTTACGCAGTTAAACACTGGCATAGTGCTTGGCTTCAAAGAGTGAGTGCCACATCAAAACTGCTGATGCAAAGGTCACATGGGGGAAAATATTTTGGCTTTTTAGTTCTATTAATGTGATTTGTGAAATACAACTTCCATGTACAACTTACCTGCTGCACAACTGAAAAATTGTTTCTGGCCTGCCTTCTAGTTCTGACTTGGTGTGAATCAGTTCCCAGATACAGCTGTTCTCTGTTCCTGTGCGTGGAAGGAAATGTTACTTTTGTATATACTTCACAAAACCTTTGGCATTAGAAAGACCAAGGGAGAGCTCCTCTGCTTCTGAAGGCAGCATTAACACAGCCATGTGTGAATCCACAGATCTCACGCAAGATGGAACTCATCAGAAACTCCCCTGAACTCTCCTGTTGCAGCAGCCTAACACTGCCTTTGATAACTCTGTTGAGGAGTTGCTTAGTGCTTCTCCATGCCTTCCAGCCTTGAAAAGCCTTCACCCAGGTGTGCAAAGCATTCATTTGCTCTAAATGCCTTGTGACACTTTACAGAGCATACAGAAGTGGATAGGACCATAAAGATCAATTTGAACATAAAAACCCAAGTCTTCAGCTACCACAAATTACACAGTGAACTTGCCCCTGTTTGGGAAAACACAAGGATCAGCTCACACACAGCATCAGGGTGTCACCAGAATGTCAACCATGGTAAACCACCTTCCTGGTATTGGGGATTTGCATTATGTCATTCCTTCACATCATACTGCATCTTCCTGAACTCATGGAAGAAGTCATCATAGCAAATGAAGGAAGTCTGTTAGTGTAACAAGCCTGTACCCCCAGAGTGCAGAGACAACAGTGGATAGCATTTTCTCTACACCTGCCTGTTTCCAGAGGCTTCAGAAAGACATATGGAAGAAACAGTATTACAGAATCCCAGGAAAGCATTCAATCCTAAAGTATTCAGTACAAGAGAGTTACCTGCTGTGTTCCCCAGTCGAACTTGAAGAGCAGATAAAGGAATCAGCCAACGAAATTTAAATGGATCCAAGTCACCATAATTATGTGCAGCACGCACATTAGTAGGCTGCAAAAAGAAAAACAATGGGTATTTCTAAGAAGTAGAAGTAAAAATAGTGGTGGTGTTTTCTGTTGCTCTTAAAAGACCTACCTCTGAAGAGAAATTAAATTCATTAGACTTTCCCTTCAGTACCTTAAAATGTTATGTAAATGTAGTTGAAATGGTGATAGACACAACCTTTGGAATTCCTAATTGCTTCAACTTTTAAAAGCCATTTGATTGTAATGGATAAAAATACTACTTTGCATATAAGTAATACTAGGGATCAACTTTCCCTGTGAAAGAACATGCAGACTGTTGATTAGCAGAATACATTAATCATGTAGCTGCTGCTGCTGCATTTAGAGCCCCTCCTTCTGTTACAATAAGCATGGTGCAGTGCTTCACCATTGGTACTCAGGACATACAACTTGCTACCTGACTTCAGCATTCCAGGTTTGTAAGTGGGGACAGAGAAGGTAATGTTTATAATACCCTTTTCCCTTTCCTTCCAGAGTAATTGAGGGGCTGTAAAACATACGTCTTCCAGCTGCATACTGTGTTCAGGTAGGCCATTGTAAATGCCTGTAGATCTGGAAAAATTTATGATTTCTACACAGCAGTGTTTCATATTCCACCTGACAGAACTAACATGGGGCTTGCTTGATGCTGCTGCTCACTAAATAACAAAAAATATTTATTGCTACACGGATACTGTGTGCTTGTTTTAGCTGAGATAGCCCGAGTTTCACCCTAGTGAGGGAAGGTGGCATTTCAACTCAGTCACCCCTCCTTCAACACCAGTATCATCCATCTCACACTGCAGTAGAATCATAACACCCACCACCTCCACTGATACCAGACTTACCATTTTCTTTTTCAGTTTGTAGTTCTCCTTATACACCAGTATTACAGCCCTCTTAAAAACTGCAAAAAAGAAAATAAAATGGAAAACTGTTAACTATAGGTGTAATATTCAATGAAAATACTATCTTGGAGAAGCTGATTACTGTACTCACAGGAATGTGAAGGATGAGATAAACATTGAAAAGCACTTGCCCTGTATTAAGATGAAAACTGTTTTTCATCCTACACTTGTTCATGCAAGAGCAGTATTTTTCCCCTCAGATTTTGTTCTGAACATTTAGGATGAAGCCATTCTGCGTATTCTGAAACTACCAGCAACCTATCTCCTATAAGTCTTCTTATAAACAAATACAGCCGATGTAGGTCAGATGTGAAAGTTCAGATTTTCTTTCTGTAATCAGTGGATGTTTTCAAGGGAAGGGCCTATAACAAGAGAGTGCTGTGAAGAAGGACAGTAAGTCTGTTCTTCTTGCAGTACAGCATTTGTTTAGTTGGAAACTCAAAACATCTCAAATCCTACTATTCCTTATGCAGGAATTCTCTGGCTTCCACAACATCCAACTGGAGTGGCTCACTAACTGCACTTCATCTTTCAGCCTCCAGGGAGACAGGGACATGTTCACTCTCATCTGTAAGGAGGAACAGAAACATGGGGACATTGAACTTGCAGGTGAACTGACGGGTAGCTCTTCAGAGCAGACCTGGATTCCAGATTAGACTCTAGGGTAGAATGGCTCTATGCCTGCTTATGGATCCATCTTTCCTTCCAGAAAGAGTGGCAAAGAAGTTGAGTCTTATCCCTATATGAAGTCAGGATGCCACCATGGCAAACACAGCATTAACACCAGAGCTTGGCAGGTTCCTCCAGTTCTATATATTAGGTGCATTTTTTAAGCTACATACAGAAGGTTTGAAGTGAGAATAAAATCCAGTTTCCCAAGTGGCAGACAAGCAGTGCAAGCTAAGCATCAGGCCAGAGTCCTTTCATTCATACTTATCCCTATATGAAGTCAGGATGCCACCATGGCAAACACAGCATTAACACCAGAGCTTGGCAGGTTCCTCCAGTTCTATATATTAGGTGCATTTTTTAAGCTACATACAGAAGGTTTGAAGTGAGAATAAAATCCAGTTTCCCAAGTGGCAGACAAGCAGTGCAAGCTAAGCATCAGGCCAGAGTCCTTTCATTCATACATGTCCTGCTGGGAAGTGTCCAGCATACACAGATCACTGAGAAGCTCATCCAAGGAACCTGGTAGATAGTTTCTGTTCATTCTCCTGTTTGAAGCATCCCCTTCCCTAATCTGTCATGCTTCCCAGGGAAGAAGTGCCCTGAGAAAGACAAACTTGTCTGTCATCATTGTGAAGTTCTGTAGGTGTTTATCCAGTGACACAATAAAATAATAATTTTTTTAAAAATGGACAAGTGCCTAAGATGTTTCACTGGAGGATTTAATTACTTAGATAATGATTAAATGATTAATTGTATATCTATTCTATTAAATAAAACTCTAGTTTGTATGCTCTCATTTCCACATCCACTTTCAGTCTGAGATAATTTGGGTGGGGATTTCATTGCAGTAGCTGTAAAGCAGAAGTCAGCCTGAATTCACAAGAGCAGAATAAATCATGATTTTCCTACCAGCCTACTTTGAAAGCTTCGTTTAACAGATTGTTCTAAAGATAATACTGCCTTTTGAAAATCACTAATTTCCATAGTTTAAATATAGGCAAGACAGCAGCTGATGGTGTCTCACAGAGCAAACAGCACCAACAAGCAAACAAATAGAAACTCTTCTCATGTTAGGAAATACAATTATGTATTGTTCAGATGTAAGTCCACCCTGGATATCACATGGCTACAAGGAAAGATTAGGGCTTTTATCCTCTGAGGTAATTTAATGTGGTGATCTTTAGATTTGAAGGACTACAGTCATTAAGGAGACACTTACCAAACACTGTAAGTTCAAGGTCTTTCCTTGCTTTGCCAAGTGATGGGAAAGGATTCAGCCAGGAAACTGTAGAGTGCATCAGAAGTTCTCCCATTGAAAGCTCTGTCACCTGTATTAAATAATAACAGTGGATAATATAAACAGTATAAATATATATATACACATCAGTGCTGCAATCCACATATGTACGTTAATGAGTACACCTTAATAACTTTAAGGATCTATGTTTTCTGCATTTACTCTATGGACAGAGAGACAGAGATCTGCACTACAGCAGGAAAAGTGTGAGTAACCCCCTCTTTAAAATAGGTAACAACTATACAAAGTAATAGCCCCTAAGTTATAGAAGCTGGATGGAAGTTCTTACTATTAATAACTCAGAAGAATAATAAGTTGATCTGATGATCTGTCTGTCAGATATAGCCAGCTGTGAACTGGCTGATTTATTAGCTGTAAGTATTTTTAATTTCTATAGAGCAATTAGTATTAATGACACTGCCAGTGGCAGAATTAATAGAGGTCTTGTACTCTGAGGCTACTTTCTTCTGTGGGACACAACCTAGCTCTGAGAAGAATCTCACAGGCTGTCAGATTTTGTTTCCCCATAAATAATGAGAAACCAGTTAGCCAACAGGGGTGATTAGGCTTTTACTAGGAGGAAATAAAACAACTGAGCTGACATCTCTCATATCTGATATCCAACTTTACAGATTTGATCTGCTTAGTAATTGTTTTATGTAAATGGCAAAGTTGCGACCTTGCTGCCCCAGTTCTGGGAGATGAGGTCACACAGTCTGTTTAACTAATGGTTTTTGCTCTGACAAATACCCATGGATGCCTCAGCATAGTAAGTGTAGAGAATGAGAATAACAGACCTTAATGTGAAATCCCTTGAATTGCCATTTTCATTTATACGGGTGAAAAAAATATCTTAAGAACTTAAGAACTCTACAGCGTAAAATCTGAATGCCTTGGGGCATGAATAATCTCTGCAAGATTCTTCCTACTGAGAACTATGTCTACTCCTGCTTGCAATTTTTGTCAGTCCAGAAGGCGGCTCTGGCAGCTGTCTGAAAATTTTACCGTAACCTACTGACAAAGAGAAACTTGACAGGCTGATTCAAAACAGAAGTCAAAATATTAAAGGAGAATAGAAGAAGCCCAGCACAAGTAAGTTCCCAAAATTACCTCAGGAAGAGATGAAACAAGTTGGATAATGTTTCAAGAGTCAATACATGTTGTTCCTTCTCTTACCTCTTTCTCTGTTCCACTTTGATCTGCAACCAGCTGGTCAAATACAGTGCCATAATCTTCATATATCTTCTGCATCTCATTGATGTGACTTGCCACTTTTTCCATTGCCTTCAGTGCTTCTATAGGGTTTTAAAAATTTCATAGACAGCTATGTAATTTAATTGTATTTTCTAAGCATGATTTTTTTAAAATGAAATTCCCCTTAATGCAGGTAAAACAAAGCTGTCTTCCCAACACGTGGTGAACTGAATTCTAGCTTTATATCAGTGCTTTCTCATAGCAACAGGTGAGGGAATGCTTCATGATCAGCCTAAGTGAAAAATGCTTGTCTGGTGTCCTAAGTGCCTGAAAAGGCTGCAATAAGCCTTCCAGGGACAAGCCCCCAAATGTATGAATATTTATAGCAATATGATAGTAACCACAGCTGAGTTTTGCATCTTGTAGGTAGAGGGCCACTAAGATCTCTGGAGTAATCTACACTCATCCTAGAATAAGTTATCTGATGAGCTTTAGAAGAAACAAATTGTATTTGAGGCAGCATAGAATGGACAAAGAAATACAGTGCTAGGGTGTACAAGTTCCTCAGGGACTGTATGCATGAAATTAAATGCTGGTGGCCAGGCTTTGTTTATATTTTGTTTTCCAAGCAAGAATGTCACTAGATTTCATTAGATTTTTGTGTTAATTCAGAATGAAGTTGGAGAAGGCTGCTTCATTTCGTCAGTCCTTAATGGTGCAGCCTTTTAGCACTTTGGCACCCATTCTGACCTACAAGTAAGTCACCCCCAGCTTGTTTAGGAAAGAGAACAATAGAAGCTCCCTTTGGAGTCAGTAACAACCTCATAACTTCTTGCTGACAATGTATTTCGCCTGAATCTATTTTGTGAAAATGACAATCGATCCATAAAATAAATCTCTTGATTTTCATCCACCAGCTGCTTACACACCTGAACTGGAATTTGCCAGGGTGAAGACCCAAGCATCTGAGCCTAGAAAAGCAATCAACTCTAATGTATGTTACACAGACAAGACTTTCTACACAGGAAGACTGTAAAGCTTTGACAAAAGATCTCTTCTATGCAAGCAAAAGTCACAGACAAACCTTAAACAACAAAAATTTCCTTCAGAGGTGCTCTTAATCTTTGACACATTTCAAGAACTAAATACTAACCACAAGATGGAGCTTTGGTCAATGTTTCTCAAGGGGGGGGGAGGGGAAGCAACACTGTGACCTGGCATGCTCCTGCACATGAGGATAAAGACCATCTCTACTTGCCACGACAAATGCTGGGCATACCTACTTCTCAAAGGGACTTGGACATACCAAGTAGGACTTTTAGCTAAAAGCATGAAAAAAGCATATTATTTTTAAGGAGAGGGAGGGAGGGAGGGAGGGAATTGTCTCCAGGTTTTGACAAGTTCTGTGTTCTCTATCAGGATGCCTACCTGTATCTTCAGAAAGGGCAAGACATTCCTGTAGAAGAGAAGAAGTTACCTGTCAAATGGTAGTGCTCCTCACTCTCATTGTCTGTCAGAGACACCAGCTCTTTTAAAAGCAGAGGATATTTCAGCACCCTCTGCACAGGCTTTATGAGATAGGACTCCAGTGTAGAAGAATGTTGCTTTGTGGGATTTCGAGCATCCAAAAAAGCCTTAAAGGCACTATCTGTTTTGGCTAGGTGTAAATGAAAGAATTGGTTAGTTGAACATGGAAGTCACAGAAGCTACAATAATTGGAAAGCATAAAATTGCAAGTTGAACCTAGTACCAAAACTCTCATCCTTTTCAACACATGATCTACAGAGTAGTATACACTATTCATTTCATAATAATTTCCTGCATTAAATAACATTCATAAAGGCTGAAAAAGCAATTTTATGAAGGTGAGATTATTCCTCAATGCAATTTTTCCACTGAACTGCAGCGGATGGCAGAGGAAGTAATTCCCAACTTATCCTACCATTTCTTGCTGTTTTTTGGAGCGTGAACTGGGTCTGCAGACAGCAGAAACTGGAAGATGTTTCTGCAGCTACTCAGGCTACTGCCTGGAGTTTACAAAAGGAATGTTATTCTTCAGGTGTATACCATACTTCAGCAGAACCTCAGATCTTAGCTCTTCCTATTGAAAAACACCTAGTTAGTCCTTGCTTTGTACCAATATTCATTCCTTGATTTGTACCAATATTCTATGCAAGTTGACAAGATTTGTTACAGTAGTTCACTGCGGTTTGAATTCATGCAAATGAATGACAATAACGAAAACAATAAATTACCTCTCTCAAGAACTTTCTGAACTTTGATGTGGTTTGGGTTTCAACAAAAGCCACTGTACAGTTTAAAGTGGTCAGCATAATACAGAAAGGAGCCTCCAAGGGAAAACAACAATTTCTGAAATCAACACAATCAAAATATTAATTTAACTAGAATCCTAAATAAGTATTCAGGCACATAACACACAGACTCAACAGTGATTATTTGCTATCTTTCTCTACATACCCTGTATATTTATATATATATATATA